GGGGGGGAAAAAAAGGAGAAAAAAAACCATCAGTCACTATGAAAACATATACTTAAATACATTTCACACTTACACTGACAAAATAGCTTTTTATTTCCCAAGTTCCTAACACGTTCCTTCTCAGTGGGCTTCCATCCAAATTCAGTTACCATTGATGTACTTGCAAGCTCAAAATTTTCCAGAGATGGAACCAGTTAGTGACAGTTCTCCTTATTTTCTCACTTCAAATTGGAGTCCGTATAGAGAGACAGCCCCTAGAAAGCTGCTGCCATTCCTGAGAAAGACTTCTGCCTCCAATGCTGGTAACTCATAAAAAAGAAACCAGTTTCTCATAGGAAATTTATACTTTTGGCAACTGTTCTTGAAAAAGTTATGGGAGGCCACGAAGTGGCCTGCTTGCTTTCACTCTTAGTGCTTCATACAAGAAAATTGTACAGTGGTGGTTATATCCAGATTTTCTTTACAAATTCCTTATTGGTAGAAAAAATAAAACTGTGCTAGTTTCTCCTAACTTTAGCAACATCTGCCAAATTTCCATTTTTTTACTCAACAAATACACAATAGGTAGATTATATATTAGGCTGACAAGATAACTTTGTAGTTCAAGTATACAAATTATTTACACTTTTAGCATAAATTATTTTCTATCAGTAGTCATTTTCCTGAAACGCTTTGGGTGTTTTCTGAAAGACACATAAAATACAAGCTAGGTCACAGTCTAACTAAAAATTTATGTGGCTTTTTTCCACCAGAAAGGAAACTTGGCGGGGGGGAAGGGAGGAGGGAGAATACAATTAGCCATATCCTGAGAAGACCTCTGGATTTCTTAAATGAAAAACAAACAAAAAAGAGTAAAGGCTATATCCTCAACTTTATGGTAAGTAAATATTGCCCACTTTTCAGAACAGTAAGGCCAGAAGACGTAAGTTTGCAATTGTTAAAAAGTACACATTACACACAAGTTATCTGAGCCTCATTACCTTTGTCATAACATCTACATGATATATAAGTATAAATTCACCTCCCATCCATGCACTTTGAAGATAAGTTTATATACGTATGCACACACACAAATATATACACACATATATGCCAAAAATCAATGCATCTTTTCAAAACATTGTTTACTTTGTTAGAATAAAAGATAAAAATAAGGTTCGATAAAAATAAGCTTCAATAAAAAAAGATAAAAATAAGCTTCAATAAAAACCCATGCATCAGTATAAAAACCAGTTAAAAGCTAGTAATTCACCGGTAATTGACATAAAACTTTAAAATATTTCTAAAGTGACGAGATGATTGCTTTCTTCATTGCTACCAAAACTTACCAACAACCAATCCATGTAAAAACTTTTATCCTGTTCCTTCAACCAGACAAAAATGATGCTACAACACAATTCATTAAGTACTTACTTACAAGATTAACATAGAAAGGATATGAGTAAATATCAGGTGAACATTTTAACCAATTTAATAATTTCTCACTACCTAACAGGAAGGGTTCGATCTCCTTTCCGTCGATCCATCTCTCTCTGAGGAACAGGATACCAACGAAAATTCAACTTCCAGTTGAATCCACCATAGGTCATGTCGGAACCTGCCATATATTCGAAGGTGTCATCGCTAATTACGTCAATGATGGGACACACTACTGTTCTCCTAGAAAAAGGAAAGAACCAAAACCTAATTAATTAAAGTTTCAAAAAAGGTGTGGGGTTTTCTTTAAATTTTTTTTTTAACACATACAGTTTAAATTTTCATAATGACATCTCTTAACAACAGTACTCGGTAGATTATTACCATGAAACATATTCAAATTCTGCCTTGCTAATTAGAGTTAATTAATCTAAAGGAAAATGTGTTTTTCTGATACAATTTTGGCAATACTAGCTCTTTTTTTAAATAGTATTTGCATTATTATCAGTAATAAATATTCATCCCTCTGCAGATGGAAAAATTGATCACAGCTTTCTCAGTTCTACACACACAGTGGCTGTATAGAAAACAAGAGGTTTTCGTTTCTAGTTAAGTGGTCAAAGTAACTTGCGTGTGTTGAAATTAAAAATTGGTCATTAGCTCTGGGAAAGTATTCGTATATGCCCTCAGGACTAAGAAATTATAGTCATTGTTAACGAAGTATAACTACTGCATCAAAGTTGACAGAAAGAGGCCTCCTTGTCCACTGTCCTGACATTATTAAGACATATACTCACAGAAACTAATTCTAACCATGTTAAAGACACTTAAGTTACCATCCTCAAGCAGGCTTCCTCTCAGAAAGCTCTGTAAAAAGATTCAGGGATTGCAACTAAATTGAAAGGACTTAGTTGAGCCATTTGCACAAATTGTAACAATATCGTAGTCTCACAAAAAGTGTATTAATGATAACTTGAAGGTTAGTATTATGTCTTAGCACGGTTCTGAACAAAGATTCTTTATTACTTGTAGCTTTTTCATCACGTAATGCTGTATTTTGTAATGTTAAATTTTAAAAGGATTTTTATCTATAACCATAAGAACAAAACAGAGATCTGTAACACCATACATAATATCTAGTCTATTTAATATGCTGTTTACTAACAGACTAGTGTGCAACTACAGAGTTACTGCTCAGATGTACGAATGTTTTATAAAGCAGACCATTCTCTCACTTTTAGTTTCTCCCCGCCCCCAATACAATTTCCATCACACTATCATGGATGTAAGTGTTGTGAGTATTGACTTACGATAGAAATATAAAGCTACATTACTGCAGTGTAGATCAGTATGATTCCAGTAACTATTCTAACTTGAGAAAATACACCCCAGAAGACCAAGTCACAGCACAGAATTCCACAATACAAATACGTTACGAAATAAAGAAATCACAATGAGAACCTGAAAACAGTAAACCTGACAGTTCTTGCTCACAGTGTTGGTGTTACATGAGATCAGGGCTCCATTTCTTCCTCAAGAATATCTTCCCAAATTCATGAAGGAATGGGCCAGGCTGCAGACGGAAGACCTCAAATTCCACTGCTCTCTCAACTCCATTCATGCTCAGGTCTCCTGCTATTTAACACAGTATCCCATGCATCCCAATATAAGCTTCACTTTAAACGAAGTTTTACTTTTAAAAAGTTGTACTGAATTAGCCTTTTATCCTTACACCAATGAGAATTTATCCAGCCCTTCAGAAAGTAGATTATTTGCTTGTAGGCTATATTGTAATACTTGGAACATTTCTTAATAACCGAAAAAACGAACATGGACCAACAGATGGATAATTACCTGTCAGCTTTGATCCTTGCCAGCAGAGGTTCAAGCCAGCCTACTGTACATTCACAATGAGCATCTAAGAAGGTGATGACCTGGCCTTTAGAAGCCGCAGCCCCCTTTAATCTGGCTCTAATCAATCCAGAACGCTGTTCCATTCGAATCACATGAACAGGTACTTTTAATTTTTTCACGTAATTCTCCAGCGGTCTTTTCAAAAAGTCTGCAAAGAATGATCAAAACCATGGAAACTGTCAGTTACATAGTTCAGCTTTTTTTTTTTTTTTTTTTGAGAGAGAGAGAGACTTGATCAAATCCGTTTTTCAATTGTGCTTTCTCTAGATTTCTCTGGCTAATATTTTTTCTATTAAATTATCACTATAACACCTAAGAACAAAAATAAAGACAAAATCAGCTACACATAAATGAATATCCCTAACATGAACAAACCTCAGCTTAGCTGAGGAACAAATTATTCAAAATAAAACATAACTGACTACCATATGCCTAGAGACTCAAAATTACTTGCATTACAAAGAGCTGCCAAATTATAAAGTGCTGCCAAATTAACAAATTTCCCATTGCCAGGCATGGTTTTTGTCCACCATGAAAAATTAGACTGTGATGGATGATGCCAAAGGAAGAACAAAGAACTGAGGGAGAATGCAATTGACAGTCACAGAAACAGACTTCTTGCAATAACTTGCAGATTTCAAATCTGTAAAAAAGGCAGAACAGTCTTATAACACAACTACGGAATATATTAGCTTACACACTCAAAGCACACAGGAGTGCTATAACAGTGCAAAACCTGCAGTAGGATTTAGCGTAAGATAGTAAGTACCTCATACAAAAATAAGCGTGACACTGGAAGGGGGAAAAAAAAGCACGGCATGAGCTCTTAGTGGCTGTTTTGTAAACCTCAAGAGGCAGAGTTGACCTGAGGGTGATTACCATTCCTTACCACTTCTCCAGATGAATGAGTTTTAATTGCCTCCTCATTCTTTTCTGTGCATTGTTAGACTGTCACTAAAACCCACAGAAATAAGTTCTGACACATCTTGAAAGCTGAACTGTGCTAAAAGAGCCTAAGAATTTGATAGATCTTAAATATTTGTCTCCAGAGAAACTCAAAGCAAGTTAATTCTTATTTTGCATATTAAGAGAGACTCAAATAAATGTCTATTAGTACAAACCAAGTGTACATGTTCGAACATTTCGCAGGCCTTCTGGGGTTGAGCACATTTGACTGACTGAGTCAGTAGTAAATATAATCTCATCACTTTACGGTGTAGCTTTCCAAAGCCACTAATTTAAAAGAACTAGTATCATAGTGATGTTTATAGTTTTAATGTATATGGCTTCCATGATATACGCAAAGAGAATAAAACAGTGAAGTATTTCTCTCTATGCTAACCATATCATGAGCAAGTCACACAAACCAACATGTTCCTCTGCACATTTGAGGTATAGCGTTGATAAGCTTTTGAAGTAGTTCTAACCACTTAAAGCTGACTGAATATGGGCTGTGACATTGATCCTTGAATGCACAGTTACATTATCAGAATGGTAAGATTCTGACAGAAGGAAGAGAGAAAGAGAGAAAGATTTCAATAATGCAACTGCAGCCAGCCAAGAACTAACATAAAACAGGAAGTTACATTAAAGAAAGTCATGGTCAACATATTGCATATAAAAACCTTAAGTCCTACCTACATTTTCTCTGTAAAGTATTTCAAATTTCAATTTATCTTCTCAAGTACTTTTCAATTTTTTTTCGCTAAGAAACAATCACAGAGGTGTGCAGTGTTTTCACTATGAAGGGAATAGGGTTAAGAACAGTCCTTCTCCCATGTTTAACCATGTCCATAAAAACATTCTTATGAAGTACCATCTTGTTCAAAACTTCAGAAGGGGGTAATCCCAGAAAGAAAACATTGTGCCAGACATTCAGTAACTGTGCCCTTAAAACATTACTAGAATTTCAGCAAAATAAGCAAAAAGGTAAAGCTTCATGTCTCATCCCTACAAAAGCATGGAAAATAACTCAGGCATCAAGATTTCTGGTTTTCCTCTGCTACCAACAGTTAGGGTTAAATGCTCAAATCTAAGCAGTGTATTTTCCCTTCAGAGAACTGTCTCTTAGAGCAATACATATCCCTCACAAACTGCTCCCTTAGTTCAAGGAGCAAGAGTCTAGAGTTTTGGGCTAGTCATCCATCCAGAAACTGGTAACAGTTTCTTGTAAGGCGAGACTTGCTTTTTTCTTTAAAAAAGAGTATTTGAATAGTCTTTTAATGCATGCAATACATTTTAGCCTACAAAAAATGCCAAGATCAAGCTGTAGAGATGATTTTCTATACAAACCTATTGGTCGTATTTATACTAAATCCTATATTAAACACTCAAATGAAAAGTTTTATGCATTACAGAGTCAGTTGTTTACAAGTGACCCAGGATGACAGCTGAGTAAATTTTTAGCATTGCCTCATACACTTCAAACAGAGAGTGAGGTTTTGATAATATTAAAAAAAAAAAAAATCAAAACAAACCACAAATAATTCTACTTGGGAACAATAATAATTCACGTATTTTTCAGAGGTATAACTTTAGTTTCATTTAACTCCTTCTGCTGGATATTCCTTTCAAACGTTTTCTGTATCAAAAGGGTGCATAATTTTACCTACGACTATGGACAGTTTGAAGAGCATCTTCTGTGGCAGTAGCAGAACTAAGAAAGCCAAAAAAGCAAATATATTCAGTTCAAGTCAAGTAAGTGTCTAAGTTAAAAAATACTTTGCCAATTCTACTACTGAGTCACATATGAATAAAAATGAAAAATAAAGTTACAAATTACAATAAACACCAGATTTATCACATATAAGCATGCAAACACAGTTTTAAGAAGTGTGAATACTTTTGTAAGACATTATTGGCAGGAATTTACTTTTGGTTACATTGCTTTGATCTCTATCTGTGTAACTAACTTCTGCGAATGTATTCTATCCTGATGCAATCTGCCTACCACTCTTGGCCCTTCAATGCTGACCTAGTTTTAAGTACTGACTAATCCTGATTTCTCCTGTTAATTTTTTTTTTTTAAATAGTTACCAAAGATCAATACTTAAAACATAAAATTCTGATCAGTAACTAGAGAACAATATTACAGATATGTCTTGTTTCTCCAAAGCTTTTCTTTTCAGTGTAAATAAGTGCGTGATATTATGCAAATTCATTCTTCTAAGAGCATGACACTAGCAGGTACAAAGTGTGCTTCAGGCAGACTGAATGCTTACTTTATTCCAATTAAATTGACTCTGATGCTAGAATTCAAAATACACAACTCGGGCTGAACATTTTCTTTTTCTGGAAAAGTCTGCTGTTTTAGTTCAACACAAACAGAATGCTTAAGTAGCATATGCTAAACCCTTCAAATTTTCAGGCATCACACTGTTTGGTTTTGTTCAATGTAAAAGCATGCTTGCTGGAACCATAACAAGTTTTTGGAAAACAACACAAAACAAAACTTTCAGTAATTGTTGAAAATAACTGCAAAAAAAAGATGCCTGAGTGATCTGAAATGAAGATCACAGATTTCAAAACTAAATATTGGAACAGGTTCAATAACACCACCAAAAAAGTCTGAAATGCTGTATCTTTCAGCCTGGAATTAAGTTACCTTGCTTGTATTACCTAACCCAAACCCAGAAACAGAAAAGTTATCTAGAGAAAGCCACATGCTTTTCTAAATGGACTATAATTCTACTTCATAATGAGGACATGGCTATTGCTATGTTAAAATCGATTTTTTCTAAAACAGAAATTGAAGAGGCAAAACATAAGAAATATTATGTCTACGTTATTTTAATATTAGCTTGCTCTTTATTTCTAGGTCATATTGAAAGCTGACCTGCCACAATTAATCATTAGCGCTGACTTGAATTAGTGCCAAGGACTGTTTTGACAAATGAAACAGAGCACACTTGCAATAAACTTTGCTTTCCTAGGAGTCTGTGCACAAAAGCTAGCTAACCAAAACAAATGTACTATATCTCTGTTCCATTAAAGAAGCATATACCTGTAACAATAACCTAGTATGGGCATTCAGAATCCAAATATCAGCATCCGTGTTAAAAAGAGGATTCTTCCCTGGGAACAATGCCAAGAGAGGTGAGCAGTTTCACACGCATTAGAACCAAAAAAAAATCTGGAATTTTTATAGTTTGAAAAACTACAAGAAATTGTGGAGTGTAACTACGAATTCCCTACAAGTGAAAACTGTGAATATTTGATGTTGTGCCTTTCTAAAAGCAAAAGTTAATCACACCTCTTATCTAATCTGGAACACATTTATGTGGTAGCCTTGCCCTTTGCATGGGCATTCCTCCTCTGCTGCCAGAGCGTAATTGTATTTAAGGCCTCTGTCCCTTCTTCCAAATCGTACTGAAATTGGCTGAAGCAGTTAAAGTTAGTATCAGGTAAGAAAGCAAAAGCAAGCGAGGGTGCCCGAGAGAGGAAAGGAACACAGAGTGATACAAGTGCAAACACAACCTGAGCGCACGAGCTACGCTTCCTTAGGAAAACAGCTTGGTCAGAGCTCAGTTAGCTGATACGATCTTTCTTTAGTCTACTCAGCTACTCCACAACCAGCTGTACTCTAGACCTACACAGTTTGGAATAGGTCAGTTAATATGCTAAGGCATCATACACACATGCAACATGAAGAAGAAACTCATTCACCAGCAAGTGCTCAAGCCTCACTGCCCAAGCCACAGAAGGCAAAGGCAGGGACTGGGAGAATGAAGAGCCACCCACTGTAGCAGAAGAGCAGGTTTGAGACCATCTAAGGAACCTGAAGGTGCACAAGTCCATGGGACCTGATGAGATCCATCAGCGGATCCTGTGGAAACTGACGGATGAAGTTGCTAATCCACTATCCATCATATTCGAGAAGTCGTGACAGTCGAGTGAAGTTCCCACTGACTGGAAAAGGGGAAACATAACCCCCATTTTTAAAGAAGGAAAAAGGAAGACCCGAGGAACTACAGGCCAGTCAGTCTCACCTCTGTGCCTGGGAAGATCATGGAACAGATCCTCCTGGAAGCTATGCTAAGGCACATGGAGGACAGGGAGGTGATTCGAGACAGCCAGCATGGCTCCATGGCTTCACCAAGGGCAAGTCCTGCCTAACCAACCTAGTGGCCTTCTATGATGGAGTGACTACATCAGTGGACATGGGAAGGGCTACAGATGTCATCTATCTGGACCTCTATAAGACCTTTGACTCAGTCCCCCACAACATCCTTCTCTCTAAACTGGAGAGAGATGGATTTGATGGGTGGACTGTCCGGTGGGTGAGGAATTGGTTGGATGGTCGCATCCAGAGGGTAGTGGTCAATGGCTCAAGATGGAGATCAGTGTCAAGTGGTGTCCCACAGGGGTCCGTATTGGGACCGATACTGTTCAATATTTTCATCAATGACATAGTCAGTGGGACCGAGTGCACCCTCAGCAAGTTTGCAGACAACACCAAGCTGAGTGGTGCGGTTGACATGCCTGAGGGATGGGATGCCATCCAGAGAGACCTGGACAAGCTCGAGAAGTGGGCCCATGTGAACCTCGTGAGGTTCAATAAGGCCAAGTGCAAGGTCCTGCACCTAGGTTGGGGCAACCCCCAGTATCAGTACAGGCTGGGGGAGGAAGGGATTGAGAGCAGCCCTGCTGAGAAGGACTTGGGGGTACTGGTGGACAAAAGGCTGGACATGAGCCAACAATGTGTGCTCGCAGCCCAGAAGGCCAACTGTATCCTGGGCTGCATCAAAAGAAGCATGGCCAGCAGGTCGAGGGAGGGGATTCTGCCCCTCTCCTCTGCTCTGGTGAGACCCCACCTGGAGTACTGCGTCCAGCTCTGGAGCCCTCAGCACAAGAAAGACATAGACCTGTTGGAGCGGGTCCAGGGGGAAGGGCCACAAAAATGATCGGAGGGATGGAACGCCTCTCCTATGAAGAAAGGCTGAGAGAGTTGGGGTTATTCAGCCTGGAGAAGAGAAGGCTTTGGGGCGACCTTATTGCAGCCTTTTAGTACTTAAAGAGGGCTTATAAGAAAGATGGGGACAGACTTTTTAGCAGAGCCTGTTGCAACAGGACAAGGGGGAATGGGTTTAAACTAAAAGCGGGTAGATTTAGACTAGAAATTAGGAAGATACTTTTTACAATGAGGGTGGTGAGACACTGGCAGAGGTTGCCCAGAGAGGTGGTAGATGCCCCATCCCTGGAAACATTCAAGGTCAGGTGGGACAGGGCTCTGAGCAACCTGATCTAGTTGAAGATGTCCCTGACCAAGGCAGGGGTGTTGACTAGATGACCTTTAAAGGTCCCTTCCAACCCAAACTATTCTATGATTCTATTATACTTTCTACCACATTAGATATGAAGTGCAAAAATCCACTCCTAAAGCTCTTCAGCTACAAAAACTCCTGTTAACCATTGTAATGGTTACTATCTATCATAAACCCTCCTGTTAACCACTGTAATTCGTGCACCATAATGCTACTTAGACCGTATGATCTGAAACCCAGTGTCTGTCTTCATACATAGATCTTGTTTGGACAGATCTTGTCACCCATCTTACTCTGAAGTTGGAATTACCATAAGCAGCAGAATATGGATTTTGCAGCACTGAATCAGAAGCATCAGGCAGAGATGTCAGCATGCTGGGTGTAAAACCCTTTCTTGACTAAAGCATGGGAATTCCTGCTAACAGGTAACAGCCTACAACTGGTGGCTGCCAAGACTTTTTTCTAGTGGCCTACTAGCTATTAGTCCTAGTGGAAAACTTTCAATGTAGAAATATAGAAAAAAGGGTGATTCAATATAAAAATATAAAAATACAGACACACAAAAAAAATATCCCTCAAGTTATACTTTATAACCCATATCACCGAGGAAGACTAAGCAAGGAACAAGCCAAATATCAACTATTAACCAAAACAAAACACCAAGTATTGTCTAGAATATTATTTTTATTTCTACTATATTGTAATTTACAAAAAATACAAAAAGAGTAAAATCTAATTCAAGTTACTTTAAGAAAAAAATCAGCTTCAAGTTTTGTCTATTAATTTCATTACACACGGAAAGTTTCATTCTGTAGCATGGAATTTTCACCTGGAGCACTAGTTATTAAAAAGTGGAATCTCTTACAGCATAGACACTGAATTTCAACTTCCCAGGAACTGAATGATCAAAATTAATCCCTCTGAGCACCAAGTTTAATAGCGGTACTGATAGTAAATTTGGATGTGTGTGAGCAATAGAGTTGCCTTTGCTATTATTCACCAGGTGATTCAAGTATTAAATGCCCTCAAGCTTTAGGAATGTGTTAAAATTCTAAATGCAAAACATGAAGCTGTAATAGGATAAACCCACTAGTAAACACAAACTCTACACTGTCAACAGAAAAGTAAAGACAGATGAACTTACACTAGTTTTCAGTGGAGAACGACCGACACCAAATGGGCATTGCTCACTCTGCTTTCCCCTACCCCAGCTACTGTGTTTTGCTGAGGAGAGCTAAACCCATAGAAAGTCAGTCTCAATTTTTTAAGTAAAAAGAGCAGCAAGCTAAAGCATTGACGTTATCATTACCTCTTTCACTGGCATCATCGACGAGGACTATTTCTTCCAGCATGTGTCGTGGTGACCGGTTTATCACACTGTGAACAGTTCGTAGAAGTGTGCTCCAAGCCTCATTGTGAAAAACAATGACAACGCTTGTCGTGGGAAGGTTGTCTACATACACCTTCGTTTTACACCTATAAACAAAAAATAAGGCATGTATTTGTAAAGGTCAAGCCTTCAGTTAGAACTGCTATTCTGAGGTTTATTTCTGAGTATCAATATTAACATTCATGATGTATCAATTGTATGCAAAGTATGACAAAGGAGCAAACGGTACACAGATTTATATTTTTACCTAAAAAACACCCTGACTTTTATGTATACATCTATGTATTCTATCCTACCACTAAGAAAGGAGAACCTCAATTCAATAATCAATTCTAGAAATGAAAGAGAAATCCATGCTGCTAACACACGGAGATGATAACAGATTATTTATTTCCACTACGCCTGTTTTGTGAAGAGTAGCATGTCCAGATACACTAATCCAAGCCCCTAATTTAGGCCTGCATTCCCTCAGAGGGCAAGCGGGAAACCCTAGTACTGTAATGGGGACAGAGGGGGAAGGGAGAAAGAGACACAAGATAAGAAATGGCAAACTTAAACTAGGAAGTAAATGCAATAAAAAGTATATATAGAACAAAACCAAATAATAACTAAAAGAGGTAAAGAATTCTGGACACAGTTGATGTTTGGAAAAAGCCAAGACTACACGTATACTGCCTATAATACTGGTGAGTTAGGTATATTTCATAATTTAATGTGATTATATCACACAGGGTTTGGGTTTTTTTCCTCCTCATTGTATACATGTTGGAAGTGCTATAAGAGTTCATCAAATTAAAAGAGAATTATATTCACATTCCAAAGTTAGCACGGAAGACCACAGGTTTAGCTCTCCTAACAGCACATATAGGACATTTATGCAAAATATGACATACACACCAAGTAACTCCACATGCAGCCAACATTTCACACTCCGCAATACTATTTTAAAACAAGTGATATTTTCAGTATCTCCTAGAAAAATCAATACGGTGTACATAAAGTACTCTTAACAATTCTGAAAATACAATTCTGCACTAAAAAATCACCATGCAAATTTAAGTGTTCTCTGCACAGATCTGTTCCCCCTGCATATTCAAAATCACACACAGAAACCTACATAAGATTTGATGGTACTAAATCCTTTCAGAATCAAAGCTAAAGAGATATACGCAGATCTCAAACCCAAGGAAAACATTGAAGAGGAAAAAGAAACATGTTCAATGGAGCTTCATTCCAACAAAATAGCTTTTATTAGATCCCAATTATTGAGTCAATTCACTCTAATATAACCTGATCTGAATGCTATTAAAATACGCTAACAAGTATTTGTGACTATCACGTTAACAGCAGTGGCCCTGTCTGAGGGCTTGAGAAGTACATAGTGCATATCCTCTACCCTAAACATATTAAAACAATACTGAAGGAACAACCTGCCAACACACAATCATGGTGTCAGCATCTATCCCCACCCCTTTTTCCCCCTTTGGAAAAAACAGTGACACCAGGAATGTCAGCCAAAACTGGGCTCCCAGAATGAGTATTTTATTTGCTGGATAACTTCGTTAGCCAGAGCTCTTGTAAGTGAGAGCAGCTTTTGTAATACATAGGCATTTCAGTTCTGAGTTGGTGACAAAAGCCCAATGTGCGCCGAGATTCCATAAAAGATCAGTAAGTCCAGGTACAATTGAAGAAATATCTGGAAGAGCTTCTGTGGAATCATGTTTCATTTCTGAGAACTGAAACAGTAGGATCAGGCACTATCTGTCTTCAATATTATACTTACTTATTATACAATTATGGGCAAATTTAATTATACACCACACTGATGTGAACACCATAAAATCTTCAGGGAAAGCAGCCATATATCCCTATGTTTTCCAATTTAATTCACATGTAAAAAAAACTTGCAAAGCATGCCAACTGATAAAGTTATTTCTGTGGTATCACTTGAAAAATAAAATAGCTTTTCACAAAAATGCTGTGAATTTGAGATGAAAAATTCAATCGTAAGCCAAATAATTCTTCCCCCATGTTTGTCACTTGTTCAGCCTATTATGCTGCTTTAAAAGCAAATTTTCAATGTTTTATTCCTTCTGCTGCACTGCTCCCTAGACCAGAAAATAAGTGCCTGATTGTAGACCTTCAGCTACAGTAGTAATACAAATCCACCAATTGTTCCTCTACTTTTTGGCAGAATATTTGTAAAAAAGTTGAGAGTAGCCTATTAGCAGTTCTCTGTGAAAAGCAGTAACAATGTGTCATTCACATGGAACATCTTGCCGGGGTGGCCACAGGATCTACTATTGTAGTACGAAATCTCTCATCTGCAGCCCTGGCTTTTTTTTACAGTTTTACAGAACCTTTTATTTTACTGAGCCCAAATCAATGAATTGGTATAACAAAAGCCACCCATGTTTCTAAACCATTACACTGTCCAAAGTATAAATATATCAAAACATTTAAGATCCGTCTTTGAAGGGGAACTTTTTAGCACTAAGAGGAAGGCATACAGGAGTTTTTTGGGACACCCCTCTCCCTGCAAGGCATTTCCACTGCTCTGTCCTGCAGAAGGTGAAGATCCTCCTTTCCATAACAAGACTTGCCTATTCTCATCCCCAGACCAAGCCTTTCTGGGGTAATAAGTTAAAAGCGACCCTAAACTGGCTTGTTTACCAATATATAAAAGGCTGCCATGGGTAACACAAGGGTGTTTCATAACGAAACTGGCCTGGAAATTTTTGAGTGCTATTCTTAATAAAGTGTTTGTGTGAAATTATTCTGGAAAGATTCATTGATGCAGGCAGGATAAAGGAAAGAATTAATAGTACGATATCTGACTTTTAATACTGCTTTCACCTGCCTTTCTATATATACACCTTTTAGCTATATTTGTACAAATTCTTGTGAATACATACAAATGAAAAAAATCTGTTTTTCATTTTGAAAACACTGACATACACTCCTTTCCCCCCAGGAACATATTGCTGCAGAACATAAGACAAATAAAATAGAACAGCTGACACCTGTGATTAGAGCATTAGCCTTTTATGTAAACCTCATATTTTATCCTTACTAACAAATATTTAAATTAAGAATCCTTTTTGTCTTTCATTTGAAAACAAATTACCCCAGAAAGGGATTACTATAGAACTTAAAATACAGCATTAGTTTCAACCAACAGTTATGCAATGTTAGTAGCATAACCATGAGGGGTATGAATTAAGGACAATTTGAATTTTAATTCACTACTAATACATTCTGTTCCTTTTGTTGGATCATGCCTCAAACAGTTTTAAAATTGAGTGCATAATATTAGGAAGGCATACCATCTCCAGTAATTTAACGAAGACTCCAAACAGCAGCTGAGAATGTCTACTTCACACAGAATGCATCATCCTTTCCTTAATCTATGGCATTCATCATGCAAACTCTCGGCTAATGTGACTCCACATATTATTTAGATTGTGGAAACTCCCCAAAAATGTCAGACATTTTAAATGCAAGCAGAGACTTACTGCCCTATTACCTAAAGACACACAAAAAGAATAGGCCAGATTGTTAAAATATGATCAAGACAAAAAGCCTAATTAGTCTACATTTCTTGATGCACACATTCCAATGCTCAAAACAGTAATGTTCTTTATTTCATAGCAAGTCTCCCTCTCATGCACCAAAATCCCCAACTTCAGCTGCATTAGCCTTGTATTCTTCCCTAAAATTTGACTTCTTGCTTTCATGTAATTAGGAAATAAAATTAAAGTTATCCAAGATCTTTAATGCCTCATCAAAATCAGATTTCACAAAAAAAATTACTTTTGCAAGCTATACTTTTAAAAGTTGTTTTACAAGGGAGCCATGGGACTATAAAGACATGACTCTGCTTTGACTTCTGAAGATGCTCATGCACATTCTCCACAGAATTTCACCTTTTTGCAGTTTTGCACCATATATTCAAAATACTTTGGCCTGGTCCCTTATAACTACATGGTTACTCATAGGTCTATAACTCCCCAAGAGCACAAAGCAGTACAACAGGTCCAAACCCTTCATAACTTGAATTTAAGTTTAATGGATTACAAGCGAAGGAAGGAGAACATATCCTAGCATATGTGTGTATAACACTGCTAAATAAGAACAGTGACAGCAAAATAAACACAAGTTGTTGTCCCTAACACCCTGTAGCCTGATTTCAAAGTTTTAAATCCATTACAAAACTTTTTAAAATGCAAGGCCAAAAACAACTATGAGTTGTGTTATGCTTCTCCATTATCGTGACTTTTTGTGAAGATGTTAATTGAATCTTATACAGAAGCTCTGCACATTTTAGATAGGGAGATGTTTAGAACAAAAAAAACTCAAGGTGAATTTTATTAAATAGATTATGTATAGCCACTTGAAAACTACTTCAAACACACCTGAACAGCCTCTGAATAAACTGCTTTCATCTTTTCTCTTTCAGCCCAGGGTACAAATAGTCCACAGGAGACATTACAAAAATAACCTAGAAGATACATCAGGTAAGGCAATTCTGTCCAAATAAAATTAAGCTGTTAAATCTCAGAGTTTAAATGCTGCTTCAGCACAATCTTGCAAGGAAAGAAGACAACTCTTCATCTTGTGCTTCCTATGTCAGCACAACCATATATTCTCAACCCTCCTTCACATCTGGCAGAACTGGAAGCCTCTCTTTTCTCTCATGCCAGCAAAGGAATGAGAAAAACTTACTTCACCACTGCAGGGACAGAAGAAATCTACTAGGTGATCTCACAAGATCCTTCATTTTAGTTCCTCAGAAGGTGAAATTCTTCTGATACCTATCTGCTCTGCTCAGTGCCCAACTCCAAGATAACAAGGCTTACCCACTCTAACCATCAGCACCAGAGACGCAGAGGCGCCAGGAACTCGGGACACCGCCCTTCGCTATCCTAGTATCACCTCTTTCAGTCTACTATTTGGGATTTTCACAAACACTTCAAATATTACCTTAAAAAAATGCAACTGTGCAGCCATCTTATTAGAGAATAGCACTTGGCATTTTATCAATACTATGAAATTGTATTCATGGATCAATTTACTTAGAAATTAT